TTTGAATTTAACATGTGATAGATACCACGTATAAATGTTGCACATTAACAAAGCTTCACCACAAATATCCTGCCTTATTAACCTCTACATGAGGCCAGGCAGAATGGCATGAATGGAGATTCCATTTTTAAATAAAATGTAATAAAATACTGCAGAATTATCCATGAATAAAAAATGACTTTGATTTTTCAAGTGTTCCCATTAAACCATCATAATATCTTTTTATCAGTTTAACCTTTATGACTAGAAAAAGACATTTAACCATCTGCATGACTAAATTTAGTTTTTTCTGAAGCAATGTAATCAAATGGACCCTTAAAATTAAGATAGCAAAAAGTGTTATAAGGTTTCTTTACACTCTATTTGTGTGGGCCAATGCAGGTATGGAAGAATATTGTTTCTACCTTTATGTTAAAGAGCAAGTCACCCCCTACCAGAGTCTCCCATTTCCTGTTTGAAAAATGCACCACTAACAAATACACACACAGGCTCACAGCGGCATTGTGACATCATATGGTACCAGCTAACATCATGAAGTACCTCTTAGCCAATAGCAATGGCAGATTTATAATCAAATGTAGTGCAGAGGTTTTACCTGAAGAGGGCACAACACTGACAGTTTTGGGCAGAATATTTAAATTTGACCTAAGATGCACTAAAGTGTCTAATTATTGACTACACGTGTCTACAGCACGACTGGACACTCAGTTTATCAGCAAAAAAAGTTTATTTGGGAAGACTTGCTCTTTAAAGAAAGGAATGGTCACCGAAATAACCTTAATTTTACGAAAGCAACAATAAATAGAACTGAAATCAACAAATGGTAATCAGACATTGCTTTTGCATTCTAAATAAAATGTGTATACCCATAGAAAAACTCAATAGTAATTTGACCATAGGAACATGTCAAACTGTCCTGTAATCAGCACCACAGGTGTCTTGTAATCAGTCAGTCTGCATAAAGGTAGTCACAGTGCTGTTTTGGTTCAGGGTGTGTACAACTTTGTAAATGGACCGCAGAGAGCTCAGGAGATTAGAAAAGGCAATTATTGACAAATATGTTAAAGGCAAAGGTTAGGAGACCATCTCCAAGCAGCTTGATGTTCCTGTGACTACAGTTACCGTACATGTTTTACTCAGAGATTGAAAGTCCACAAGACTGTAGACAAGCTCCCTGGACACAGAAGGAAATGCAACCTCAAGCTGATAGGACAAATTGTGCAGATGCCGACCTATGTGGTTTCTAAAGGTCGATGCCGATACTGATTTTTAACTCATTCACTGCCATTAACGACTAAAGTCGTCATTAGCATTCTTTTACTGTGTAGGCATCGGAACGAGCCCCTGCACCGTGAGAACAAACACCTCAGCTCTAAAGCCGATCTTTATCCGCATACATCACCTGTCACGTGATCAGGAAGCAGAAAATCCATGTGTTTGGAGATCGTTTTGGGCCGCTGTTGTAAAAAAAAGTGAGGCGCGAACCGCAAAAGCTTCTGTTGATCAAAATTCAACAACGGATTATGAAAGAACGGATAACGCTCAAAAGGCGCCGATTCTTCCTGATGTAAGAGGTGAGTCTCCGCTTTATTTTGGTCAATTTGGTGTCGACATCATCCTAGCGTGCAAAGTTCTGTGACTCAAAACATAAAAAAGGTGTGTTGGGGTCCTTTCTTCAGTCTAGTAGCAGCAGTAGTTGGCCAAACAGGTGCCAGATTTTTTTTACATTTTTTTTATCTGCCTTTAAAAATAGTTTTGGCCGATGGCCGATATAGAAAAGATTTAATATATCTGCCCGATATATCAGTAGCTACTGTGAAACAGGGCAGATGCTTTAATTATGTTTTGCTTCGCTTGGGAGAGAGGGTCTCGGATCAGTTCAGAGTCCAATGAAATCTCAAGACCATCAAGACATTTTGGATGGCATGTACAGATAAAACTAAAAGAATTACAATATGTGCAAAAGACAATGTATTTCAGTCATTTAGACTGAGAGACCATCTAAAGGCTCAGGAACCCTTTGAAAGTGTTTTGGATTCATTAGCTGATTACAGTTTGACACTTTCTGTCTAGAATATTGAGCCTTTTCACAATATTCTGTTTTTCTAAGATTTTGAATTTAGTGTTTTCATAAGCTGTAATCATAATCATCACAATTATAACAAATAAAGTCGACATATCCATGGAATGAGTCTATCTCATATATATGTTTCATATTTTAAGGGTAATTACTGAAACAAATGAGCTTTTGAATGATGTTCAAACTTTTCCAAGTTTCACCTACACCCCAGTGTCAGAAAGGAGTTTCAACATTTAGACAAGGGAAGGGACCCATTAAACCAGATCAACTGAAGAAGATGCCAAATTCTCACTGAGAGTTTAAGAAATCAAAAAGGTTCTGCAACAACACATTATTAGAGCTTAGTGAAAAAAGATGTATTTCCTACATTATATCACAGTACATGATAAAGCAATAACTTCCTGAAAACTCATACATGATGATTCATGAAGGGGGAACACAGACAGACAGCGATTTTAAGGGTTTATAATTTTCACCTGACCACTTTTATACTTTTCTATTTTTTAAAGCCATACTTTGCAATTTTTTCATATCTAAAATAATTTTCTTGAGCCAGTATGTGCAAAAATGACCCTAAAGTTTACAGGGTTAATGAAAAGCCACCTATCACGCCCTGTGTCCAGATTAATAATCCACTTGCAACTTTCCAGCTCGTTTCCTGCATGTTTTAGACCATGAAAACAGCTGATTTGTTTTATTTAGTGATTACCGTAAATCCTCCAATACAGGCCGGTATTCAATTAAAGGCTGGGTCTCCAATTGTGGCCGGTGTCAAAGCCAGTTGAGGTAAATATTGGCCGGTCTCTTATTGTGGCCGGGTGGAATGTAGTAACAAGCAAGTATGAGCGTCCCAGCGGCAGGGTTATAGTCCCCAAATGAACCAGCAGGAGGCAGTAGAGGTTCAAGCAGACCTTTATTAGGCTTTTTCTTCAACGCTTTGTAACGCTACAGACACAATCCTCTATCACGCTCCTACCACACAGAGTCACGGTGTCAGTTAACCATGCTAATTCAACCCACTCCACAGAACACACATCAACTTCCCTGTGGCTTACATAACACTCACACAACACGCAAATCAGCACATAGGAACTAGCAGAACGATAGGAAACACATATAACACAATACCCAGAAAGCACCTGGCTTACAACCCCAGCCAGGTCATTACACTGTCAAGTTCAAAGAGAACGTGCTGATTATGCTGCAGAACACTCTGGAGAGCAGCAGTAGGGGGTGTATGAACTAGTCAACTTCACTATAGTGACTTTTTATGCCTGTCGTCGACTAGTCGCTGTCACGTGATAATGACTGGCAAGATGCAGCCCTCGGAAAAGACAGCAGTCTGCTGTCAGCAGGTGACAAGCTCCTGCGCTCGGGGGTGGGGGGTGGGGGCAACGCGCTGTGCCAGACCGTAGGTACTGACACGCGATCGTTCATGTTGGTTCATTTCCTTTAATGTTTTCTGTCTTTTATTTGCGCCTGATGCGTTTGCTGCATGCTGTGGAGCGGGGCGCTGCGCGCATCACCTTGTCCTCCGACGCACTGATCACTGATACGGCCGACAAACAGCGAGCACTCCGCTGTTTTTGCGGTCAGTAGATCTTTTAGAACTGCAGTTCAAAGGTAACTCATGAGGTGAATATATATGAACCCAGGTAGCAGTTTTTCTTTAGGATTGAGAGGAGATGCAGGAAGATAATAAACAGACAGGACAGAAAAATAGTCAAATAAAAACAAGTTAGTTTTTGTACCTGGTGGTTGCAACAAACAGCCACCATTGAAGGTCATCAGAAGTGAGGAACAGAAAATGAAATAATTATTTTAATGTTTAGAGCAGCAGGAACTCCGAGAGGCTGCAGGCGCATCAGTGAGTTTGCGGCCGCTGCGCAGGGGGAGGGGGGAGAGGGCTAAAGCAGGGGGAGGGGGGAGATGGCTGAAGCAGAAACTACTGTTGTTAAAAGAAATGTGTTTAACTTTGAAAATGTGGGCGCAATTTTAATTGTCAAAAACTCCAAGGAACATTAGTTCATTTTGCTCAAATTGAAATAGAGGCCTGCCTCTAATACTGGCCCTCCTTCCAATAAAGGCCTGGAGCTTGATGAGCTTGAGTCAAATAGAGGCCCGGGCCTGTATTAGAGGATTTACGGTAATCACTTCTGTAGACACTAATGAAGGCTGGGGAGCGATTTTAGCTGTTAGATTAAGGTGCTAAAAAGACAAACGCACAGCAAGGAGTAAGGTTTTGCTTATGGTAGAAGCAAGCCTAAACTGTTGAGCCACAGTTTAAAAGCAATACACCACTATGGATTTTTTTGAGAGTAGTACACCGACACCGCTGGAGATAGCCACCCCCACCCCCACCCACCCCCGCGTGACCCTACGTGGACAAGCGGGTTCAGAAAAGGATGGATGGATAGTACACCAAACACAATGTATTGGTTATTTTTTACTTACTAATTAACTTTATAACTGTGCTTCTGGAAATAAAAATTCCACATGGGAGATCAGCTATTGCTAGCACTACTGGTGATGGTAAGTTTATGGACTGGGATAAAGGATCTTTTATGTTGCTATTTAGTAATGATCCATTGACAGACTAATATATCACTAATATATCTGATTATTGACCTTTAGATCACGCTGAGTGTGCTAAAAAATATTGTCTGGTTCTGATCACCAGCAGCTCAAGTCAATCTTTGCTTGCCTGTTACTAAAGAATCTCAAGAACAGATGAATGTGTCATGTGTTCATCAAATGGCATTAAATCTTTATTTAACAAATTATTGCCAACTCATTTCACGAGAAAAAACACTTTTTTCAACCACAAAAAACCCTAGTTAAACATTGAGCTGCATGTTCCATTCTTATACATGTTAGACACTCGTTAGTTTCAGAAACAAGACGCTACAGAAGTCCATACCTCTTTGTAGGAGGACATGATCCTCTCGATGGCATCAGCTCCTGAAGCCAGGAGGTTTCGTGCAGTGGTGAACGCCTCTGTCCTCTCGCTCACCATCATCTGAGCCTGTCCATCAGCTGATTATACAGAGAGACAGAGGACATTAGACAGACCTGTGAGCATCGGGCTGAAATTTTAAAAGCCACTGGGGAAGCATTGTAGGGAGCTCCAACTTCCACTCGTGCAAATAAACCGCTTGTTTTGCTAGAAATTTGTATACTGCACATCATTTAATAGTCGTGTGATTGTTACCCTTTTCATAAAGGTTTCTACATGCAAAATGCAACCAGAACATGAATGCTCCTGGAGCCTGACGGTTTTACCATTGTCTGCAAATCCAGTGGCCGTGATGATGGGAACAGCCACCATGACGAGCCCGCTGCCGCTCCACACGTACTTCATCAGAAACTGCTCGATCATGATGTACCAGAGGCGCTTGGACAGAATCAGGTTCATCTGATCCGCCAGAGCTCGGTAGCACTTCTGCAGCTGACACATTTCCACCTGGAGTGAAAGGATGGCACAGTTCAACAGCCATGATCTGACACTTACCACCAAGATATCTGCATGTACGTGCACTTTTTTTTAACCTTGTGTCCTCTGTAGAAAGCTATCTCCTCTGCATTAGCAATAATCCTGGAGTGAACATAGCGCAGGTAACCCTTTCTGTGCGCTTCCTCAGCTACCAGTTTGCCAAACTTGGGGGAGCATGCACGCAGGACCTTAGCTGTGGCAAAGACCACCAGTCCGGCTAGCAAGGTTGGCCCAGAGGCGTTGGCTCCCCTTGCTCTGGCAGTCTGGATCAGCGTGTAGGAGGTCAGCATCACGTCTAGGATTGGTTTGGTGAGGTTGGAATAAAGGTGGGCAACAGACTGGGAGAACATCATCACGTCCTCGGTGAGTGACTGGTCCGGGTTGGCCAGCCTCCCGTCCATGTTGCTGACTTTGTAGTAGGTCTGATCGGTGAAGTAGGTCCGGTAGGCATGATTCACGAGCCGGGTGCGGAAAGCCAGCGCGAGTTTGCACTCCAGGTACCTGATGGCGCTGTTGACGAACGTGGCCGGGATAGCGATGAGGAGCCATTTGATCAGCTGGAGGATGAAGCGCCGGGGCTTCTTCTCCACGATCGTTTTCACGATCTTCCCGTCCAAACTGGCCACGTAGATGGACAGAAACGTTCTGGACACCAGCGCCACCGAGTGCAAGCACAGCAGGCACAGCTCTTTAGAAACGAGCTTGGGGAAGAGGATCTTACCAAGTTCGAGGATCTGCTTGAAAAATTCCGCATTCACTCCGGGAGACGCTTTCTTATTCTCCGCGGTCTCTACTGGAGTTTTCTCCAAACACGCAGAGCCGTTCTCAGACTTAGAGACCGTCCGATTGTCGCTGTGTTTATTGTTTCTGTGGAGCTGCTTCCAGATGATGGGGTACAGCGTTTTGACGCCGTAAGCGGCAGCTGCCAGGAACACGGCTCGTTTCGCCGCAGCCGTGCGGTCCCATCTCACTCCGGATGCCGCATCCAGGATGTTGGACATATTTTTATCCGCCCGTTAGTCGTTTCTGACGCTTATTCGTTTAACATCCATCCTCCACAACAGACTAATCGCACCGACATTACAGAAGGTGATGGCCGTTAAAATGGGAAGCGAGCCCGGTGCGAGTACCGCTACATTCTACTTGTTTCTTCACCCAGCGTCAAGTAACAGGAAATGGCTGCACTTCCTGTTTGTACTATCAAAATAAAAAGTCATCCCTCAACGGAAAAACACCCATGTCTATAAAATATATGAACATGTTCAGTTTTGAAAAAAAAAAGTTCAGTTTTGATTTATAAAGATAACCAGTTTTCTGTTATATGACTTTTCTCATTGGCAAGAGGTAGCACCACAAGCGGAAACACATTAAGCTACAGAAAAAAATAATCTACTGACTTTTTTCAGAAAGTCTATGGATTTTATTTAAATCTCAATATTTATTTAAATTTATTGACCACCCTACCTGTAACAACTATTTAATTTAATTATTAAGGACACCAGAGGTAATAAAACAAAAACAAATCCTAAAATCTGAATATATTTTAAACATACAAAAATTAAACAGAAACTGTAAAAGCAAGTGCTTCCTGAAAATACATGTATTGTATAAAAACATTCAAGATTAAATTTACACACTAAAACTGATGAAAAATAACTAGATTTGGTACAAGAATTTCAACTAAATGTCAGACTGAAATAATAAGTCTTTGTTCTAACAAATATACGCATGTCCGACACTTCCACAGGTTAGGAAAAGAGGTTGAGGTTAGTTTTAATTTAGACGAAATCAGAAGAAATTTAAAAAATAAATAAATAAATAAAAACTGATGGATTTAGATGGTTTAGAGATGTAACTTTAGTCATTCTGAAATGACCAAGGATTTTTTAAAACAGAAAACTGGATATGAACTTCAAATACTTTATGTCAACTATTTTTATCATGTGTTAAATTTCGAATTTTTGGGGGCTGAATTCCATTTACAGGCCAGTAAATCCTAGAGGGAAATTAAATTAATAAAAAATTAAAGTGTTCCCATCTGTTTTTAAATGAGCTAAATATGGAAGCCCATTCTGTGGAAGCCCATTCCCGCCACTCAAATAAAAAAAATTATCTCATAATTATGACTCAGCTAAGTCATTGAGATACTATCTCATAATTATGAAATACTAAGTCATAATTATGAGATGCTAAGTAATAATTATGAGATTATATATATTTTTTCATCTGAGTGATGGGAATGGGCTTCCATAAATCTGTCACAAGTTTTGAATATACATATATATGTATACGGTATGTCGATCAGATGTCGATGGAATACACACACGCCACATGCCTTATTTGGAATTCTAGGATGTCCAAGAAAGATCCCGCCTTTCTCGTCTCTGATTGACTAGAAAGGCTCTACTATGACTGGCTATTTCCTTTAACAGCAAACTGGCTGTCCTCGCGAAGTGCAGACAGTCCTTTTGCCACCAGCAGAAAGCTGTTTTGGGGAGTTTAGTAAAGAAAATGTGAACGGCGCTATAATAAACATTCTGTCCTGTTTTGCAAATTATTTTATGTTTTATGTTTCATAAAAAACTGAAAAACGTAAAATGTGAATTTTAAATGTTGTTGCATTTATCAAACTGTTGGACATACTTTATACCTCTTGGCTCTGAAGCATTAGAGTATATAGGATAAACATATGTGCCTTACCTGGGTAAGCCATTTCATAAAACTGCCCTATTCTGCCAAGCTGTGTGCATCAGGTCTGTTTTTTCTCTAGAATATTGAAAACGGGTGAAAACCAGGTCTAAATCATAATCAGCTTTAACCTAATTTTGATTAAATGATATACATTTAATCTGATTATGAGAGATGTGCTCTAGCTTGTAAACAGCCTTAACCTTTTAAAGCAGGATAGCCTATGAAGTAATAAGATAACCCCAATAAAGCCAACACATATAAAGTCGGTCTAGTGTGATAAAATGCTACAAGAATTATCACAAGTTCACATTTCATGTTTTTCAGGCTCTTTTAAAAAAGAAACTGAACCTGGTTTGTTGCTAAACAGGAAAAGATGTTTATTATAGCGATGAGTTCATATTATCTTCAAAAAACTCCTCAAGATCTGGCTGTAAACACAAAAACCTGCAGCGAGGGGAAACTGTTTCCTCTTACACGAAATAGCCAATCGTAGTAGAGTCCTTCCAGCCAATCAGAGGCGAGAAATGCGGGACTACCTTCCTTGGACATCCTAGAATTCCAAATGACGTGTCCCGCGTGAATGTTTTAACTCTTTTAGCTAACCTTTAGTTAGCAGGGAAAATTGACCACTCTTCCAACAACTTTTGCCTAAACACCCACGGCTGAATTGTTTTACATGCTTACAGTACCGAAATGTTAATCATTCATAATTTTAAATCTCAAAGATGAACTGGGTCGGAGGTTCGAGGTATGAAGTGCTGTAACATTGTTCTTGTTAGCTACGCAGCTAAATTGAGCTAATCGGATTTTGTTAACATGACAGGAACAGACTAGTGATGAGAAGTGATGCTAAAAAGCAGCGGGTGAGATAGTTATGTCCGTGACTTCTCGAAAAAAGTATGCCTGTGGAATTTTCCTATTTTATGTTTGTATTTTTTCAGGAGTTTTTTGAAAAGAGGAAATTGCAGCAGAGGCTGAGGAAAATCGGGGTAGCTCTGCCACCATCGTCATCCAAAGACATTAGCTCTGGGAGTATGGACCTAATGAGTTTGTTTATAGTCGGTCAGATTGCTACCAAGAAGGGAAATCAAGGTAAATTTGCTTCTGGTGACTTAATAAAATATGGATAAAAATGGATAACATTGTAAATGTTATATAAATGCGTCATATTTTTTAAAACCATACAGCACATGTTTACTTCTTAAATATTAGCGTTAATTTCAAATGACAACTGAGAAATTGTGGATTTGTTGGAAGTTTAGTTGAAACTTTAAAGGGTAGCCGTTAAACACCCTTCAAATAGGGCAAACAATGGAATAAATTAAAAGCATCACTGTCAGCTCATTGACAGTAATGGGTGTTGTCTTTGAAAAGTCTTTTTTTAAACATCAAAATTATTTTACTTAGTTTAAGTACTTATCCTAAAAATCTAGACAGAGATTAGCCGAAGCAAAATGATTTAGCTCTGCATGTACAGGTCCTTCTCAAAAAATTAGCGTATTGTGTTAAAGTTCATTATTGTCTGTAATGTACTGATAAACATTAGACTTTCATATATATTACATTCATTACACACAACTGAAGTAGTTCAAGCCTTTTATTGTTTGTAATATTGATGATTTTGGCATACAGTTCATGAAAACCCAAAATTCATATCTAAAAATTAACATATTTCATCCGACCAATAAAAGAAAAGTGTTTTTAATACAAAAAAAGTCAACCTTCAAATAATTAGGTTCAGTTATGCACTCAATACTTGGTCGGGAATCCTTTTGCAGAAATGACTGCTTCAATGCGGCGTGGCATGAAGGCAATCAGCCTGTGGCACTGCTGAGGTGTTATGGAGGCCCAGGATGCTTTGATAGCAGCCTTAAGCTCATCCAGAGTGTTGGGTCTTGCGTCTCTCAACTTTCTCTTCACAATATCTCACAGATTCTCTACGGGGTTCAGGTCAGGAGAGTTGGCAGGCCAATTGAGCACAGTAATACCATGGTCAGTAAACCATTTACCAGTGGTTTTGGCACTGTGAGCAGGTGCCAGGTTGTGCAGAAAAATGAAATCTTCATAACTTTTCAGCAGATGGAAGCATGAAGTGCTCCAAAATCTCCTGATAGCTAGCTGCATTGACCCTGCCCTTGATAAAACACAGTGGACCAACACCAGCAGCTGACATGGCACCCCAGACCATCACTGACTGTGGGTACTTGACACTGGACTTCAGGCATTTTGGCATTTCCCTCTGCCCAGTCTTCCTCCAGACTCTGGCACCTTGATTTCCGAATGACATGCAAAATTTGCTTTTATCCAAAAAAGTACTTTGGACCACTGAGCAACAGTCCAGTGCTGCTTCTCTGTAGTCCAGGTCAGGCGCTTCTGCCGCTGTTTCCGGTTCAAAAGTTGCTTGACCTGGGGAATGCGGCACCTGTAGCCCATTTCCTGCACACGCCTGTACATGGTGGCTCTGGATGTTTCTACTCCAGACTCAGTCCACTGCTTCTGCAGGTCCCCCAAGGTCTGGAATCGGTCCTTCTCCAGAATCTTCCTCAGGGTCCGGTCACCTCTTATCATTGTGCAGCGTTTTCTGCCACACTTTTTCCGTCCCACAGACTTCCCACAGCACTCTGGGAACAGCCTATTTGTTCAGAAATTTCTTTCTGTGTCTTACCCTCTTGCTTGAGGGTGTCAATGATGGCCTTCTGGACAGCAGTCAGGTCGGCAGTCTTACCCATGATTGCAGTTTTGAGTAATGAACAAGGCTGGGAGTTTTTAAAAGCCTCAGGAATCTTTTGCAGGTGTTTAGAGTTAATTAGTCTATTCAGATGATTAGGTTAATAGCTCGTTTAGAGAACCTTTTGTTCATAATATGCAAATTTTTTGAGATAGGATTTTTGGGTTTTCATGAGCTGTATGCCAAAATCATCAATATTAGAAACAATAAAAGACTTGAACTTCTTCAGTTGTGTGTAAGGAATCTAATATATATGAAAGTCTAATGTAAATTATCAGTACATTACAGAAAATAATGAACTTTATCATAATATGCAAATTTTTTGAGAAGGACCTGTATATTCACATATAGGTTAGCATTTCAGACTGGCATGTACTAGCAGATGTTTGAATTCTTTCAGATCCTCCAAAAGTTGCTGTTCTTGGCAGTTTTGATGGAAGCTCCAAGCATCGGAGGACTGAGTCCATAGTGCTCCCAATGAGTCCCTGCTCTCCATCGCAGCTGAACCTTGTCGAGAGCTCGTCTCAGTTTGGGTAGAGCTGGAAATATAATCCACTGACACAATGGCTGCTGTACAGTAGCTGATGATTTGTTTACATGGATCTGTTCTTGTGTTATCTTCTTGATCTAGTTTTCCAGAAACGAGAAAAAGACAGAACATAAATCCACAAAAATTCAAGTGTAGAAAGGTTGCACATTTTTGATTTCTGTCTGTCTGTTAGATATAATATATGTTTGCTGATGTCAGATAACTCTTAAAACACTTTCCCTTTTTATTCCTAAGTTATCACCAGTGTTGGAGTCAACGTTCTCAGACAACAGTGCATCTGATTACCTGCCTCTCATAACTGGCCCGCTCAGCCCCACCTCATCAGTCTCGATGAGTCAAGGTTTTACAGAACAAACAGAACTGTGCATTTCCCCTTCAGATGAACCTTGCTGAAATAGTGATGAGTAAAACCTGCTACCCTCCTCAGGAATATTCCCGTCCCAGATGAATATACAGAAGCAAAACCAGAGTCAGTTGCAGCTTTTTCCTCACTATTCTCCTTCATCCCAGAACACCCCAGTGCTGCAGCAGACCCAGGTGTAGTCAAAACTGCAATTAGTAAATAAACTTGTATTGCATATGCAGATACAGAAGCATTTTACTCACACAGAATGGCTTTGATAGATAACATGTCTAACCAAGCTTTGAAAAAAGAAAATTGTCTTAATTTTTTGCAAGTTTATGTGCTTGTGAATTATTTTAATGTGACCTCTTATGGTAGTTTCAGCCTTTCTCCCAGCAGATCAGTTTGACAGATCCTGTTCCCTGGTCCAGCACTTCAAACCCACCCTTCTTTCATGTGGAGACCCCTACTGCAGTCCCTACCCTCTTTGGAAGCCAAAATCTTGAGTGAATAGTAATTATATTTATATTGTATTTATTTGAATATTTTGTAACAGCTCATGTTTTTTTATTACAGAAAAACTGAAGGAAGTAATATTGATAGATCCGCAGCTACCTTCTTTTTTAATCAACAAGAAAACACAGAGCTGGATTTCTCACTTGACCGGTCACAAACTGGAAATCTGCTTGAAGACGACGTCTTTGGTGGGTTTGGTGATGACGAGTATGAAACTGAAGGTATATAAATAAGCACAAAAACCTCTAGTTTTATTTATTTTCTTACACAAAGTCAATATTTTTTCCCCCATTTATTTCAGCTTTTAACTTCGGGAATCCAAAATCCAAAATATCCCTCAAAGATGAAACATTCGTGCGATCTGCAACACCACAGTAGGGGCTGGTCTTTTATTTAGGATTTGTCTGATGAATGCTTATGATGTTTTTTTTTCTTACTGACAGAACCGTGACTAATGTTCTCAGTGGAGTGGAGGTGAGCTCTGCTGTGGTTTAGTAAAGTGTGTGTTAGGCTTTTGTCGCCACCAAGTGTTTGACTTTGTAACTACAGTTTTGGTTAAAATAATTAAAAACAACCAATTTCTGAAACAGTTCCAGCTGCCGTGTCATTGTTATATATTTCTGTTTCTTTCTCAGCTCTCCAACTGCGCTGACCTTAACTCCTGTAAGTTTATGAAGCAAACCAAACCAGCTTTTGTTTGTTTGACATGTGGAGGAGGGACTAGCAGAACTGAAAAGCTGCCTGTTTAAAACCCACAGCATGTCCCGACCAGAACACTGAGCTCCTGAGTAGCTGTGAAAATTTGCCAAGTTGCTCTTGCAAAGAAGGTTACCTCAGTTCAGACTCCAGTGATGTAAGTTCATTGACATTTTTTAGCTTTGTAAAAATTTTTGGATCACTTATTGTAGGATAGTAGTTTTAAGAGGGGGGGGGGGGTCATTCTGAATTATTAAAAAATATGCATCTAAAAGAAATGGCTTATGTGACTGTCAGATGGATATCTCGACTTCTGTGTGTCCCTCATGCCTATGTGTATTATAAATCTAATTAATTACGTCTCTTGATACCACAAAGCCCTTGGCTGTAGCCCTGGTAGCCATAAAGTGCTGTATAAATAAAACTTTGTTTTTGCAGCTTGCATCTCTGCAAGTCTTGACTAAAGGCTGCAATGGCTTAATTTAAACTTTGTGAAAGTGTTTACTAGACGTAACGATCTCCATCTGGAAATAAAACAGCATACATTCTGTAAGATCGTTTCTTTGCACAGTTCTGTGAAAACATATTTGCCCGCCTACAGATCTTCTTATTTCTGATTTTTTATCAGACTTAAATATTTCAGATCAGCACATTTCAGTATAAGACAAAGATAATCTGAGGAAATACTAATACTGTTACCTGGGGGTGTGGGGGGGGGACACATTACCATGAAAAGATTCAGAAAGCAATAAGCAGTATGGTAAATGGTCTGAACTTGTATAGCGTTATGGTTGTACAACCCCCCTAGGTGCTTCACAGTCCATTCTGTTCTCACACACATTCACACGCTGGTGGGGATGAGCTACGATGTAGCCACAGCTGCCCTGGGGCGCACTGACAGAAGCGAGGCTGCACCTCTGGTCACCACCAGTACCCTCTGATTTCTGGACAACTTGCTGTACCCCCTGAGCTACTGCTGCCTCCAGTAGACTGACAACCTTTTTTGGGTGTATAAACATTGAATCACTCTTCCTCTTTCTGTCATCTTTGTGTTCATTAGGACAAATCCTGCTGCGAGGAGTGTCTTCACGACTCTGCTTTTAACACAGATGAACCCTGTTGTGATGACTCAAACTCACAGAGGACTCCAAAATCCTCCAAATCTCTCACCTCTTTTGCCAGACTCGACATGAACTCAGGCAAAGACCAGAAAACTGAAGGGAAGGTAATCAGCCCAAATAAAACATCTGGAGTCCAAGGCCAGCAGATGGCCCCGTCTTCATCTTCTCACATTCTGGAACCAACTCAGATCTCAGAGTTGTGCAAATGTAAGAAAACACCCACCGAAGCTCAAGACGTGGGGATTCAAACAGTACCCCAGACGCGCAATGCTTCCACTCAGTGCAGCTTTGTCACAAACAGTGAGGCCAGAGCTTCATGCAGCTTGTATGATATGTCAGAGAAGCAACCAGCACCTCAACAGCAGACAGCTTCACTACAAACCACAAGACGAGGAAGTTGGCCACCATGGAATGAGTTCAGCGTTAATAACAGACCTAAAGTTATCCTACAGAGACCCACACACCCTTTACAGGTCATCTTCAGCCCAAGAGGTAGAACAGTGAAATCACCAGCAGCACGGACACACAGAGAATACTCATCCTGCTTCCTTACTGTCATGCTGCTTATCTGCTCTCATGTTTCTGACAGGCTCAGAGAATCGAGATGAGACAGAGGACGATGAGAACAGCCGTCAGATCAAAGAGGCATCAGATGGGAGAGAGGAGGTCACATCTGCTGGCAGAGTCCAGTGACCCTCAGGAGGCTGAGACGCTTTCAGGACAACAGCAATGTTTAGCTCCTGCTGAGGCAGAGGGAGGTGGATAGTGTGTGTATGTGTGTGTCAGTGTTAACGCCAATGTTTAAATGTTATGAAGCATACTAAAGCCTCAAAGCATTCAGGTTAAGTTTATTTTCTTTTCCATGTACATGGGATTTCATTAAGATATCTATATAATATAAACTTTAGCAAAACATTTGCAGTTGGAACAATAATTTCATATACAGGATTTATTTTTATTATTTTGTAAACTTAAGAAACGTGTAACTGGTTCACATTAAAAAACATTTTCACTGTACGTACACAATTACATTCTCTCTTACAGAAGGAAACTGCATGTAGAGGGCTAAATACCACTGTTCCTTCAAGACACTGAATCAGAGATATACAATCACAATAAATATTTGGTCAAAGAAGTTTCCTTTACACATTCTGTATACAAACATTGTTTGTGTTTTAGAACAACAGTTCCTGGACTAAATGAAAGAATGTTCTTAAATATTTTAGTCAGTGTCGTATTTTGCACCTTAGAATCCATAGATCTTTAGCTGAGAAGTACCTGTTATATGAAAGCTAATTTCTAAGTAATAAATGAGCTACAATGCACTGTCCTGTCGTAGTTGCAATACAGTCTTTGGAGAATAAATGAACCTGAAGTGGCTGCAGGTGAGTGTCTATGTGAAGGGCCCAAAGTGTTTAGTAAGACATTGAATCAATCCTAAAACTACTTCAAAAACTATTAAGTAAAAAATAAGTCTTACTGTGAGGCATAACTACACTCTGAAAGCACATTTCTGTCAATGCTTTTCCACATGAGGGCGCTAGTCTCCAGCAAGAGGAACATGACTAATCTTTCAGTTCCACATGCATGCAGGTGTCACAACGTAAAAATATTAACAACACTCAATGTTCATATCACTAAATCTGAATGTGTCAGTATAACATTTTATGGTAATCGTGATCTTCGAAACATTTTAGCCGAAAGGGAGATATAAACTGTTTTGGCAGATTATTCTGACACAGCAGCAGCTCTCTAATCACATCTTTTGTTACGCTCCACAGAAACCTCTATGGATTTAAGCTCAAACCACACAGATCTTTACAAAACATTAAAATACATTACTTTTCAACTTTTGACACAGAAACTTTTAAAATTGTAGGTATTTCTTTTTGAACATGAGGCCGAGAAGGAAGACAGAAAACCCAAAATACCTGTAAAAAAAAACCAACCAATTCCATTATATGCATGTGTAGTAGAACAGCTACTTAGACATGCAGGGAATGTCAACAGAAAATGGCCTTTAGGCACCTTTACATTGCACAGGCACTATATAATGATGGTCATAATATATTTAACACTATAATTATTTTTACAGATTCATCTGAACAGAGTGGTGATCTTCTCCCTTTATGTGTAAATGATGTTCAGGAATCAATAACTGAGGAATGGTTCGTTAGACACTGGTTGGAACCAGTTTTTGGTGCACCAACAATAAACATTTCAAAACTAAAAATGCCACAACAGCTGTACAGTGTTGTAGAAAGTACATCTCCCCTTACAGCTTCCATGTTTTTGCTTTGCTGTCACGTTTACCTGTTTTACATCAGCAAACAAATTTCAGTATTAGACAAAAATGACCAGAGTACAAAATGCAGTTTATTTATTTATTGATGGCAAAACCAACCTGCCCCTGTTTAAAAAAAACTAACTTCCCCTCTTTTTAAACCATGATTTTACTGTAATTTATCACATTACTTGGAAAAATGTGTTCAGTTTCATTAGCCATGCCCAGGCTTGATTACTGCCAGACCTTTTGCATATAAATCAACAGAATTTGTCTGACAACATGAAGTGTGCTAAAAGATCTCAAAAAGCAACTCCATTCCACCCGGAGTAAAGCTAAGTATTAACAGTTGAACATGGTGGTGGTAGTGTGATGGTCCAGGGCTGATCTGTTGCTTCAGAACTTGAGTGACTTGTTGTAATTGATCAATTCTGTTCTTTACCAGAAAATCCTAAAGGAGAATGTCGTCCTTAAGCATGTCGCCTTAAGGCACACTTGGGTTGTGCCGCAGGACGATCATCCAAATCAATTCAGTCTCAAAACAGTTTATGGTTTTAGACTGACCCCAGTTAAAGTCTGGACTTAAAATTCATAGAGATGCAGTGACATGACCTTAGATGGGCTAAATCCTCCAGTGTGGCTATCTTACAACTATTCTGCAAAGAGGAAGCTTTATTTGTTTGCTCATCTTGAACATTAAAGTGTGACAAAAAGCAAAAACAAATTTGCAAGGAGGCAGCACAGCATTTGAACAGTAAAATTGGCAACATTTAGTTTAGGAAACACAGTTCAACCAATTATTCAGTTATGTGCCTGATTAATGCACATACTAATTACCTCAAATCAATATGTGGCTTTTAACAAAGTAATTCAAGTGGAACATATTCTTGCCTTCATATGGTTATTTAATACTAAACCACTAGTAATTGGGTATGAACAAAATCTAACTTTAGAATTGGGAACATATTCTTGATTACAAGTGGTTAATTGATTGTTGTTTAGGCTCTATTAACATGTGGAGTTTGGTGTTAATTTACCAGAACATGGTCCCCCGTCTCCACCTCCTACACGTGACAATTTTTGGTTATTAATGCAGAATAACTATTCCCCTTGAATTACTTCTTTGAAAGCCACATATTGATTTGGGCTAATTAGTATGTTCGTTAATCCGCAACAAACCATTTACTTTCAGTTAACCATTATGAATAGCTTATTTTGATAAAACTCAATTTATGTCCTGTTAATATTAGAATTACAGCATTGGTAATAAGCACCTAATAATAGCTTAATAATGCCTAATTAAGACTTAGTAGTCCACTAATAGGCATATTAAATGGTAGCGAATTAACGGTTAATTTGTGTTCCCTAAACTAAAGTGTTACCAAATGGGTACAATTAAAGTGATTATGTGGAAGTTTAACAACCAATTCATGTGTAGAAATAAGTCTTCCTCATACATTCTACTGCAGTACACTGGTCCTGTAGAATGATCCCTGGCCTTTTCACTGTGATTGCCTCTATATTCCTGTAAAACCACAGAAAATAAGTATGTTCGGGTCGAACAAGCACACTTCCCCAGTGCCTTCCGGGGGCAGCGTAATGCGTGATGACGTCATGTGTGTTCACGCTCAGACATAGCCTGTAGGGGGGGGGGGGGGGGGGGTTGTTGATGCCTTCAAAGCAAGCTGGGGGCTTTCTGTATGTCATACATTTCTTAGGCTGCTTGTCCAGCATGTCTACATCAGAAAACATTGTTTTTCTACTTTATTAGAATTGTGTAGAAGAGTATAAACTTAGTAAAACTGTGTCGCTAATCAAATCAAATAGGGCCAACGTTCATGCATACAAAGTATACTCGTATTTGTTTGTTCTTGTCATTTATTCATTTATCTGTATTATTTGGCTTCTTCACTCTGTTCACTTTGCTATGCATTTGGCCACCTATCATCTGGAAAATATGTAGTCCTAATTACTTTGGTCTAAATATATTATATAAATTTTTTTCTGTCAGTCATGCCAGCAAACCTGTAAATTGCACCGGTACAGGACAGACTCCGCTGTTGTTTTCGTTCAGGAGTGTAGACGTACAGCATGCGCGCCTCATGCACAAGCCTATTGAAGCTGTGGTTACGTGTTTGGCCTCAAGGGGCAATCGCCAGCATACAAATTTCTAACTCCGCATAGTCCCTTTAAACAAACAAATCAATACAACAAATGGTTCTTTCAGTGCTACTAAAGTGGTTTAGTTAGATAGCAGCCAACTTTTCTCAAGTGTAACAATATACTGTGCGTTTCTGGAGATTGGTTTGGTTTTATTAAAACAAACAAAGATAAAAACACACAATGAGGGCTATCCACAAACCGAAGGCAAGTCATTCTGAGGGCCTAAGTCAGTGGGCTATGCTACAAGCCGAAACAACATTGAAGTAAGACATGTCTTATACTGAAAGGCTTAATGGCGCTATAGAAAAACAACAAGTCACAACAACTGCTGTCAGGTCAGCTTAGGTCATGTGGACGCACAAACCTGGTTCCCATTAAACAATTTTTTAGCCTTCAGCCTTTTCAGTGGAATGCATATCTACTGTGATAAACAGTCTTACCTCCTGATTACGGCCTTATAAATGCTACCTCATGGTGCGGTTCACCAGTGGCTCTACACATCACAAAATGAGGCAAATATTACAGACCCCATCATTCTGCATGTTTCATCACTGAAACATGCAGAATGAGGTCAACAGCACACAGACTAGTCAACGTCTGATGCGTCGTTGTCTGATAGATGGTAATTAGAGCCTTTTACGCGAATGTACTCGACTTGTCGTCCTTCATCTGAATCGGAAGCACCACAGGAACAAAGCTTGTTCTCAAACAGTGCTTCGATCTCCTCCAGGCGCCGGGCTTTGGTTTCTGGCAGGCAGCCGTAGATAAAGGCAAAACCCAGCAAGGCCAGGCTAGAGTACAGGAAGAAAGCTCCTGGAAAGAAAAAAGAAGAAGAAAAAAAATCTGAAATTGTTCACATCATTAAGGATTGATAGAAAAAAAACTAAATGTTCAACTTTTCACACAGTCTATTTATAAATGGTGCGTCCTTGTTCAGTGTCAAAAAAAGAGAACAGTGGCAACAGATCCAACTGGCTGCTAATGCTGGATATCAACTGCCCACACACTTCTTCACAGAGCTAAAAAATTAAAATGTTTTACCACGCAGAACAACTGCTTTCAGTGACAATATGATGGAGGAGGTGGGGTGCAACATGTTCTTGTCTAAGCTACATTATGGCAACCTTAATAGGACACAAAGTACCACATAACACAGCACAAAGGCATCAGGTATTAAGAATTCACTCTGGAAGTGCCAAAGGTTTAATGAGATTTCGTGGCTGCTGCAGTCTCCAATTTCCCCTCATCAAACCTAAATGACACTTTTGTTACAACTGAGTATTACTGTACATTGAATACAACCTCCTGCATTTCAAACTTATTTATATACAGGTGCTGGCCAGTAAATTAGAATATCATCAAAAGGTTGAAAATATTTCAGTAATTCCATTCAAAACGTGAAACTTGTACATTATATTCATGCAATGCACACAGACCAATGTATTTCCAATGTTCATTACATTTAAATTTGATATTCATAAGTGACAACTAATGAAAACTCCAAATTTGGTATCTCAAAAAATTAGAATATTCTGAAAAGGCTGAATATAGAAGACACCTGCTGCCACTCTAATCAGCTGATTTACTCAAAACACCTGCAAAGGCCTTTAAAAGGTCCCTCAGTCTTGTTTTGAAGGCACCACAATCATGGGGAAGACTTCTGACTTAACAGCTGTCCAAAAGACAATCATTGACACCTTGCACAAGGAGGGCAAGACACAAAAGGTGATTGCTAAAGAAGCTGGCTGTTCGCAGAGCTCTGTGTCCAAGCACATTAACAGACAGGCGAAGGGACGGAAAAAATGTGGTAGAAAAAAGTGTACAAGCTCTAGGGATAACCGCACCCTGCAGAGAATTGTGACGACAAACCCATTCAAAAATGTGGGGGAGATCCACAAAGAGTGGACTGCAGCTGGAGTCAGCGCTTCAAGAACCACCACGAGGAGACTCATGAAAGACATGGGATTCAGGTGTCGCATTCCGTGTGTCAAGCCACTCTTGAACAAGAAACAGCGCAAGAAGCGTCTCGCCTGGGCCAAGGACAAAAAGGACTGGACTGATGCTGAGTGGTCCAAAGTTATGTTTTCTGATGAAAGCAAGTTCTGCATTTCCTTTGGAAATCAAGGACCCAGAGTCTGGAGGAAGAGCGGAGAAGCACAGAATCCACGTTGTATGAGGTCCAGTGTAAAGTTTCCACCGTCAGTGATGGTGTGGGGTGCCATGTCATCTGCCGGTGTTGGCCCACTCTGTTTCCTGAGGTCCAGGGTCAATGCAGCCGTCTACCAGGAAGTTTTAGAGCACTTCATGCTTCCTGCTGCTGACCAACTTTATGGGGATGCAGACTTCACCTTTCAACAGGACTTGGCACCTGCACACAGTGCCAAAACCACCAGCACCTGGTTCAAGGACCATGGTATCCCTGTCCTTGATTGGCCAGCAAACTCGCCTGACCTTAACCCCATAGAAAATCTATGGGGTATTGTGAAGCGGAGGATGCAATACGCTAGACCCAACAATGCAGAGGAGCTGAAGACGACTATCAGAGCAACCTGGGCTCTCATAACACCTGAGCAGTGCCACAGACTGATCGAGTCCATGCCACGCCGCATTACTGCAGTTACTGAGGCAAAAGGAGCCCCGACTAAGTATTGAGTGCTATACATGCACATTCTTTTCATGTTCATTCTTTTCAGTTGGCCAACATTAGAGAAACAAACATTTTTTCATTGGCCTTTAGAATATTCTAATTTTCTGAGATACCAGATTTGATGTTTTCATTGGTTGTCACCTATAAATATCAAATTTAAATGTAATGAACATTGGAAATACATTGGTCTGTGTGCATTGCATGAATATAATGTACAAGTTTCACGTTTTGAATGGAATTACTGAAATATTTTCAACCTTTTGATGATATTCTAATTTACTGGCCAGCACCTGTATTTCTTGCAGGATTATTTTTATCAACCAGATTAAGGGGTTAAAATGGGTCAAATCTTTAATTAATCCACTGCATATAAGGAAGCCTTCATCATCACCTCTGACTGATTTTTAACTCCCCAAAGGTCAGTCCCTGTCTGTCCGAGGAGAAACATGGTGTTTAACTGCACTAGCGGAAACACTAACATATCAATCAGCTGCTTGGAGTAAATCGGATCAGATTGGAGTGACTGGGTAAAGAAAACCCTGTCCAAAAACCCACCATAGTATGTTAGATACTGAGCCAGGTGGAGGAAGGTGAGAGACACCAAGATGTTGAATGTCCAGTTGACTCCAGCGGCACAGGCATTCCCAGTGCTCCTGGCCCACAAAGGATAGATCTCTGAGTTAATGGTCCACGGCATTGGACCCATACCTAGTAGACAGAAATGAAAAGTGAGTGTTGCTTTTATTTTATTGCAGTCAGCATGAGAAGAAATTACATTCGTCCACGTACAGGCGTGGCTGAATTTGTCTTTAACATTACACTTCTATGAAAACGTATTTTCTCCCTTAGAGATTTCTTCTTTTTTGCTTTTTTCATCAGATCAACAAAGTTTGATGTAGTTTGAGTGCAGCAGTAGGTAGAGCGGGCTGTCTGGCGAGCCGAGGGTTGTAGGATCATTCCCAACCCCTGGCAGAGAATTCTGCTGTTGTGTCCTTGAGCAAGACATTTCCCCCCACCAGCTGGTGTTGGTCCAAGGGACCAGTGGCACCCATGCTTGGAAGTCTTGCCTCTACCAGTGTACCCCAGGACACCATCAGCACGTGAATGTGTGTGTGTGTGAATGAATGAATCACACACTGTAGTGTATGTCCTCTGAAAGGCGTTGTACAAGTACAAGTCATCTATGAAAAAATAACCCGAATGCAAGAAAAAAATGGAAATATAGGGAAAAAAAAGCATACTTGTAAGGTCTATTATTTCTGCCAAGTGGAGAGGGTCTTTTTGGGAAGCTCTTATATTTATTTAATTAAGTACTTGATCAGAACCATTTATAATGTGAATGTGTTGAAAACTTTTAAATGTGCACACATTTAAGCAAAAAAAAAATTAAAAGATGTTTTTAACTTTCTGGATGTTATACCCATCAAATGATGATTTCACTTACTAGGGGAAAAAAATTACGTTCAAACATAATTGACCCCTAAGCCTAATTACTGATTGTTACGCTCTTGGCAGAAACAACAGCAACCTTTTGAAATAACTGGTTTCTGTTTACGAAGAAATTTTGACCCAAGTGAGTTTGCAAATTTGAATAAACTCAGACAGATTGAGGGTTTTCTGGCATGAATGTCCTGTTTAAGGTCATGCCACAGCATCCCAATAGGATTTAGGTCCAGATTTTGACTAGGACAGTTCAGTCAGGTTATCTTTATGTACTAATGAAATTTGTTTGCTAAACTGAAACATTAGAATGATGAAAAATCCCAAAACATAAGAAATCTGTAAGTCTACAAATAGCACTGTACTACAAAACTAGAAACCACAGGTTCTTTTAGCATCTGATATGAAGGGTCACCATGGAAACACTTATTAATTGCATGCAAGAGCAGCTGATTGAGCTTTCCGGAGTCCAACTAATTTCTGGAACAGGACCCAAAATCCTGACTGAGTAGAAAAAGAGACATTGCAGATGTAGAGCAGAACTCATTTATTTTTAAATTAAACTCAATATATATTTTTTCTTCAATCTGCTGGGGAATGTGAGCATTCTGTCAATAAAACGGATGAAAATAAAGAGATGGCTAGGACACACTGTGAATGTTATATGACAAAAGATGCATGCAGCTCTTCTTTAGCTGCGCTGCAATAACAATCGATACAGATGAAGCCCCATAACTGACCTTTGTATATTTTAATTAAATGGAAATGGGTTCTCTTTTAGCTTTTCTCTTCAGGGGTCACCACAGCAAATATTCTTTCTCTATTTAGTTCTATTTAGTCCTTTCAAACTACTTAGAAACATTCGAAAACAAGGTTAACATCTTACCTGGAGCAAAAGCAGCCAGGTAAAGAACCAGACCCAACAAAACAAGCCAAGAGAAGGAGGTGGGACAGTAATTGTAGGCCCAGTAAGTCTTATCTCTCATCAGGGTGGAGTTGGAGCACCTGAAAAGAGGAAACACATTTTATTTTTCTGTTCCTCATTGCTGAAACTCAGATTTCTTTCTAAGCTGTGTCACCATGAAAGCTGCAGCGCTCAATGTGGATCCTGCGACTCACCTGCCCCACGCTGCATGCTCAGTGGAGCTCTTATTGACTGGTACGCAGGAGGACGCGAGGAGTGTCGAGCCATTCTCACGGTAGCAGAAACCACAGCGAGGGTCCAACATGCATGGCTCACATAGCCTGAGGCCAAACAGCAGACAAAAACACAATCTGTAATTTGTAAAATCAAACGGCAAGTTATCTTTTCAACTACCATTTGTCTCCTTATGTTTTGATTTTCTGTAAACTTTTAAGCATTTAATTTCAACGCTTCTTGTTTTTCTTATTGTTCATAAAAGGTAACTTGATCAAATACATGAAAAGTTTCATAAGTATCCAATCCACATTCTACAGTTTTAACTATTTCTGATAACAAACTTTAATAAAACTAAAAACTGTATTGCAGTTTTTGGAAAACGTCAATAGCTTTGCAGAATTTAGAGTGCAAATAAAATGCATTCTTCATACATATCTGCTGGAGTATTCTTTTTTTTTTTTAAGATTTTATCTAAATATCTAAAAGATACAAACCATGAAACTCCCTCTACCATGCTTTGGTGTTGGTATGCATTTGATTTTTATTGTTTTAATCAGCAACACTTAAAAACAGCTGATTCTTTTTGTGTTACCTTAACCCTTTCATGCATAGTGGTCACTACAGTGGACAGGTAATCAAAATTGTTATTTATTTATTTTTGCTATTAAGCACAGCTGTTGAAGACTTTATTGCATGTGAGCCCCTCCTTTTGGGCTTCAGCAAGTCAAGCCAACATATTTCATGTTCAGAATGCACGCTGTCAACTGAGGTGGACATGTAATAAACTATTTGTAAATTAACAAAATGTTACAAAAGATATTTGTTGAAATTTGTTTCATTCACACCTAAAGATGAATGACAAAAATTGTTTAAAAAATCATGGTTGAAGATTTCATAATTCATGCATCAGAGGGTTAAGTATGCATTTAATTCATCTAATCGATACATTTGCGGTGGTCTAGTAGGAATGAATGCCTTGTAAGTCATATTCGGAGGACGGTTCTTAAATGTGCTTGTTGCAGAAAGTACAAGACACCTGGAGGAGAAAGTAGCTTCGGACAGCAGAATGTGGAGTCTTATTTTCTGATATTTGGTAATCTCTCCTCTGATTAGATGACAGCAATGTGACTCTACCGCTGACTCCATTTGCTCTGCAAAGCTGATGTTTTATCTCCAGAAACAACACAAGTCTGAAGGAGTTATGCTGTGTTGTGAAGTCGCTAATGCTAACAATTAGCTCATACTAGCTGAGACGTTCTCTTCTGATTCCTGGACGCTAAATCAACAAAAGCCTTCTCCGTCACAAGCCAAGAAGGGTGAGTCCATGAATGTTCAGTGATAGTGATGTAGATCTGTCAGACTTTTCAAATCCTAGTTGTTACGTCCCCGACATGTGTTGGTAAAAAGCGAAGGAGGGGGTAACATAAGAAAGATGACAGTGGAGTTTAAAATGGTTTTATTTGTAGCAAAAGGTTCTAAAAACAAGCAAACAGATGACGCATTATAAAGAAAATGCCCAAAACAAACAACCCTCTAAAAGGTTAACATAAATTATCAACTCTAAAAACACCTGGTAAAAACTTACATGAAAAGTTTTACCGAACCGAAGGTGTTCTTAAAAACCCGAAGTTGATAAAAGTCTAAAACAATCTACTGACTAAAACACCTGGTAAAAACTTATTTTAAAAAGCTTTACCACAATGAAGGTGTTTAAAACTGAAGTCAGTAAAATTGTGCCAAACCAAGTTAACCTTTAAAAAACGGGCACACAAAAGATCCCACTGGGTCACTCAGAGTAAAAACTACCAGTTAAAACTCATCCGAACAAAAAAAGGGGTTGAAACCAAACAAAAACCAGGAGGACAGCAGAACTCCTGCACTGCTGCCTCCCAGACTGCTGAAGGCACAGCCTTTTTATACAGGTGTTGGCTCATCAGGAAGATTCAGCTCAGCTGTGCTCCTCAGCAGCCCGGGAGAGAGGAGGAGGAGGGGTGGTGTCAGGCTTATTCACTAGGGCTGGGTGATCCTGGCTCCTGCTCTTCACTGGCCAGACTGGCAACCGTAACACTAGTGTTTCACCGTCTATTTTCTAACACAAGCTAATGCAGGAAATTGTGTTAGAGAACTATTTTCATGTTCAGCTTGCATGAAAAACTCAGTGACCGATTATAATCAGGAATAATCATTAAAAATGTTTTTTTCAGTGATTCAAACCTTTAAGGTTCTCATTCACTCATTCCCCCCCCCCCCCCCCCCCCCCCCCCCCAATACAACGCATCATTTTTGCTGCCTTCATTCACTTTTCTTTCTTGGATAAAAAAATGCAATGTTGATGTTTTATCTCCACAATATTCTGCCATGCTGTGGAGCTACTTTTGCTAATGGTTAGCTTTTACTGGCCAAGATGCACTCTGCTCTCTGCAAAATCAGCTCAACCTTCTGTGGTCCCAAGCCAAGCTGGACGAGGCCATTAATACTAGTATTCTTTGTGACATAGAAGAGACTGGTTTTTTGATAACATATTCATAACAGAGAGGTACTAGTGGTCACTGGATGTAGTGAAAGTACTCATCTCTTCAAATGACTCCTGCACACGTGTGTGTGTGTGTGGATGGGTGTGGACAGGGAGCTGGTCAGTGAGTCCATTAGGCGAAATGTGTCATTATGCATGTTGTGCCTGAGTTGGTTGAGAGCAAACTGTTACACAGAGACATCTGATCTCTGCCTCATAAACACACTTAAGCAAAATGTTTTATTTTGGCTGAGTGGAGACGATGAAGTGAGTAGTAACTGGGGTATGAATAGTAAAAGTCACTTTGCAAATATAAACCAGGATCAGTAGTGATAGGCAGCTGTCAATGACTGATCTGCACTGCTACATGCAGGCAGAATCGTTAACAAATTTTACAATCTTAGTTTTAATTTGTTTTTCTTCATGGTAGTGGAACACTAGACCAGCCTCTACACCCACTTGGAGGTGTATAGGGAGACTAAGTCACGCCCATCTACTTCCGCACCGTGGCCCCCCCGGAAGAACGAAAAAATGAATGCAAGTCAATGGGGCTAAAAACGCTATTTTCTAATCCGCTTGTTATGTTCCTTGGTTTTTACATATGATGTCTGTGAATTTTAAAGAACCTTTTTGATACCAATGTAGTGAACCTGGTTTAGGCTCTTTTATGAAAGAGGAACCATTCTACATATTAATTTGAGATATTAATTTTAATAAATTAATAACCAAATTTTATAGTTTAAGAAGACTCAAAGGTTGTTTTCATCGATAAACTGTCGATAATATCCGTGGGTCTGTGTTTCAGTTCAATGAAGAGACAAGTTTGAAAGTTAAAAGTTTTAATTCTTCAAATTAAACTAATGATTTTGAAATGACAAGCATAGGAAATAACAATCAACATTGGCAACTTTGTTGAACAATCTTTAACAGTTGATATTGTAAACTTGCTCAAATAGACCTTGTGTTGGATGTGTGAGAATTGAAAATAAGGTGAGATGAATGCGTGTGTGCATCTGATTTTTCTTCAGGAAGAAACAGGTGTCTGAGTGAAAAGTGATGGTTTGAATAAACTTAAGTTTTGTTGGAAAAGATGCATCAAACGCTATCTACTGTGTTCTGCCTCACCATACGAGGACCCTCGTTCAGATCCGGAACGTCAAAGGACGATGTTTCATCCAGGTCACCTCGGCTGGCAGAGAAGACGAAGGTGTCCACGATCCGGTCCAGAGATGCCCCCTGGTACACGTCGATGATAAAGCGTTTGCAGATGCGCTTTCTTAAGTTTAATTTACTCAGAAAATCAAAGACTCTGGGCGAGTCTGTGTTAGCGGTTGCAATTCAGCTATTCCTGTCTGGCTTGGCAGGAACAGCGTGAGGGGGGTGGGGTGGGGGTGGTGGTGGGGTGGGGGGGGTTGGGGGGTGGTGGTGGTGGGGGGGGGGGCAGGAGCCGCAGGCTCCCTTCCCCGGGTGCGTGTTCAACACATCCGAACTCTCTCGTTGACAAACTCGAACTGAATCATAAGACTGAAACTTACCAAACCCAGTTCTCTTCTCAAAGCAAGCGTGTGCGTCAGAGCAAATGTGTTTTGGAGTTTACTGTGAGTTTGTGTGTGTGTGAGTGTTTGAGTGTGTGAAGGTCACCACTAAAACACCTTCAAACATTATTTAATTAAGTATGGATTCATTATAGTTATGATTAACCAAAGCATAATAATCATTCATTTGATTAAAACACATTTATAATGAGCAAAGTGATAATGCTGATCATTTAACAACTTAAAATAAAGGAAAGGAAGTTTTAAGACTTTGTTATGTTATGACTAGCTTTTCCATGAGAACACATCTTCTGGCACTGCAGGTGTTCAGATGTTATGGTTTCTCCCAGACTCGCTGGCGTTCAGGTCTTAATCTGTGGGTGAAAGTTCTCAGCGACCCAGCTCTTGACCCAGCTGGGCCAAGTATAACCTTTGGCACAGAAAACCCATATTTCCTCACGTTACACCAAGAACGCACTTATTTTTGAATGGGGGAAAATGCTATTTTAGGTTTTGTGTGAATATAAGTCCAGGACTACAAATGCGCTTCACGAAAGTGACGTCATCGAACGAGGCATGGAGAAAATAGAGGGAGAATGACTGTAAGTTAAGCAAACTTCAAATACTTTCCACAGAAGGAAAGAACCATCATGAATCTGGCCATTTAGTAAGTATCAGCTATGCTAGAGGAGAGGAGACTATGTGGTGCGGTTACATATGCAATGTGCCAATGTAGTCATGCTAATTATGAACTTTTACAAGCTGATAAATCTCAAAGTACGTGATTGGCATGGCCGAAAAATACCCATCATTACTTTCATTTAAATTGCTGTACAACATATGTGTGATCTAGGGCATAAGGCAAAGTGGGTTCGAAAAATAGCTGACTTGCATTCATTTTTTCATCCTTCCTGGGACCCATGAGCCGACCGGATAGGGAGGAGACTTAGGCTCCCTATAGGGGTTTGCCCAACCAGTTTTCATTTCTTTTGCTGACTTAAATTATGCCCCTTAGGGATCTGTCAACAGTATGTGTCAAATTGAGTAGAGGATTGGACCCAAAGTGCAGGAAAATCAGAACAACACAGCGTCCTTTATTCAGGAGGAGTCGTGAAAAGTCCATGGGGCTTGAATCTAAGCATTGCGTACAAAAACCACTGGAAGCACAAAAAAAAAAAAAAAAAAAAACGAACACTCTAACTTATGCGCAGGAACCTAGAGAGCACAAGAGGAGTAACACTGACAGGACAATCACTCAACAAACACTGAAGGACAAGACAGGGTTTTATACACCGAGGGAAGTAATCAGGGGAAACAGGGAGCAGGTGTAAACAAAGTGGGGAGGAAACACAATAACCCAGAATAGGAGACAAACTATACCTAAAAACATACAGGGAACTAATGATAAAACTATAAGGGGAAACTTAAAGGCTGGATCGAACTCAAAGAATAGCTAAAACCTGAAAAACAAAAACTACAAGGCTAGAGACTTTGGAGGGCTGGGTGATAGAGAGAAGATAGAGAGAAGAAGAAGCAGGCGACACTAATTTAACTGAATAGGAGGAAGCAAAACACCAGAGGAGGAAACTAGACCGGAATATCCGTAAAACATAATGAACACAAATTATTCTAAACACTAAAGATGCTGGAGAACAAGGGAAAATAAACTAAAGACCTAAAAGGTTACGGAACTAAATACACTCAAGGGCAGGGGATGAAAATCCTTAATTTTAAATAAATGACGTAACAAGGAGGGGGGACAGGAAGGGGAAAGCATGGGTGGGGTCCTCTTCTAAATTCATTTTGTCACAGTAAAACTAGAGTGGGAGTCTAATAGCCACCAAAAATGTTCTTGTAAGTTTTTTATGCATGTTTCATCAGTCCCAGGGAACATCGTAATATGAAGTTTTATATAAACATTGTAAACATTCACTTCACTTGTTTGCAAGCAGAATATCCAGTTTTCTAGTTCTAGAAGATATACTTTTACTCACTGATACTTGGAGCATGTTGAGTTGGATATGTCAGGGTCTAATGGGTGGAATGTGACAGGAGGACTGTGTTGGGCTGACATCAAGAAACCGACGGCCAAAAGACTCAAACTCAAACATGTACCTGTTGAAAAAAGAATAACATGCATATAGGTAAGCATCAGTATTTTCTTTTAATGTTGAAACTTGGAGCCAGAATCTTTTTCCTTGTCACCTAAAATGCTGCCCAGAGTAAGTTTTCTGCGCCCCACCCGTTCTACAAGCCACACTCCCAGGAGGGTAAACAGGAAGTTGGTGAGGGTAGTGAGCCCAGCCAGCCAAATTGCCAGCCTGTCGTCTCTCACTCCTGACATCTGCAGGATAGTGGCGCTGTAGTACCTGCAGTAAAGACAAGTTCATTCACCATCTTTCACATGTGACATTCAGTAGTATTCTCAGTATAAAACTAAAAAGTAAGCACTTACATTGACATAAAATTCTCAAAGAAATGACAGCGGATTTATCCACATCAGTTATACAGCAGTGTCACAAGTCAAAAATAAAAATGCCCCAAAACTGTCTAGAACAGGTAGATGAGCAAATTTCAACCTCTCTCTGAGTGAACCACAGATGGAGTAATCACAAACTTTGATCTGGAGAACCATCAACTCATGTACAGACAGTTAGCAATCAGCTAAAAATAGTCTCCCAACGGTGTCATAATTATACGTATTGCTCCATGTAGGCAGATTACTTCCAATCATCATCAACAAGGCTCTCAGCTGGCTGTGGTCAACAACAGACACCTGCATGAGGCTCAGCGTCCTGTTCCACTCCTGATATCATGTAACTACACACACACTCACAGCAAGAGAATCACACACAAGGTTTGATATTATTAGCTCAGCAGGAAGTGCCCTAAAGCCATAAATGTACTCCAGTGGCAGTATTTTCCGGACTATAAGTCACACTTTTTTCATAGTCTGGCTGGTCCTGTGACTTATACTCCGGAGCGACTTATATACCAAATTATGTATACCGCGCTGCTGCGGGCCGGCTCTGGATCAGGAATAAGCTCCTCTGCCCCGCTGTCACCTGCTGGAGCCTGTGGAGAGCTGCTGCGGGCCGGCTCCGGCTCCGGCCCAGGAATGTGCTCTCCCCGCCCGCTGGGAGGGTTTCAAACTACGCCATCCTCTGCTGGAGACTGGGGTGCGCTGCTGCGCCCTGGTTGTTTATTCTGTTATTGTTACCGGTACTTGTCTTGCAATGTGAAATGCTTGGTCTCAGGTTTTGTAAGAAAAATAATAAAATTTCCCCCCAAAATGCAACTTATAGTCCAGTGCGACTTATATATGTTTTTTTCTTATTCATTACACATTTTATGGCTGGTGTGACTTATACTCCGAAAAATACGGTACCTCTGGAGAGACTTAATTTTGTCTGTCCACCAACGTTCACCATCCAACCTGACAGAACTGGAGAGGATCCCCAAATCTAAGAGTAAGAAACTTGTTACATCTTTACCAAGAAGACTCATGGCTGTATCAGCTCAAAAGGGTGCTTCTACTAAATACTGAGCAAAGGGTCTGAATACTTAGGACCATGTGATATTTCAGTTTTATTTTTATTAAATCTGCAGACATTTCTAAAATTCTGTGTTTTTCTGTCAATATGGGGTGATGTGTTTACATTAATGAGGAAAACCATTAATTTAATTGATTATAGCAAATGGCTGCAATATAAGAATGAGTAAAACATTTACAGAGGTCTGAATGCTTTCTCACTGTCTTTTCCAACAGAGGCTTCTCATTAAAGTCAGTAAATGTGGAAAATTATTTAGGGAAAAAAAGAGCAGGGCACATTAAGGCAGTAGAAAATACAGATTGGCCATAATGAACAGGGATAATCAAATGCATTGATTATCTTTGGTGTCATTATTGAATTATGTTGTTTGTTTTTTAAGGAAAGGATCTTTTTCAGCTTCTTATGCACACAGGCTGGTGAGAAGATGAGATGTAGATTGAGATTCAAAAGCCCCAGATACTGCAACACAAGTACAAAGGAAATTCTCATTAAATGAAATGCGGGAATAAAACGTATCCAGCATTGTCTTCCTCTCCATCTCAACAGGGAATTTAGTATTCTGATTTCCATCTCTTCAGAGGCAACCTTCCATTTCTTCCTCTCCCTGCCCCTTCCTCACTTCAATATAATACCCCACTCTCTCTCTAAACTGGACATTTAATTGAGGGGCTTTGCATGCAAACCTTTTTTCTTTTCTGATACATGTTTCAGGGATAGAAAAGAAAAACGGAAACAAAAATGGTGACACTGCACAGCTCTGATTTACCTAAAGCCAAGTGCAAGGTACATGCATGGAAGCTATAAATGGATTCTTAGTCATCCACAAACTTAGATCTACCCCTATGGCAGCAAACACACCCGCTTTGCAGACACACAGATAGATTCCGCTTCACACACACATGAAACAAGGATCTTCTGGAGTAAAAGCAGTATTTCTGTTTGCTGCTGTGCTTCATCTCTAACCCTGCTTATAACTCACACAAATACATGCAAACTATTTTAAACAAACTACTGGAGATACAAAAATTGTTGGATGGGAATGGGGGGTGGGGGGAATGTTGAATGTTGAAAATGCCCAAGTCCATACTGATGAGAGCACCATGTGAACACCTGTGTGCGTACACGCGCTTGTATATGTAAGGTTTCTCTATAGGAGCGTCCAATAGAGAGTGTGAGGGGCCACAGATCTGCCCCCCAAATAGGAGATGGAGGGAGCTCCAAGTCCCAGAGATCCAGGAGCTGCCCCAGAGCACAGGGACCCCAGGGAGACTGCGACCAGAAAAGCCCCTGTCCCCCTCGAGAGGTGCAGAGGATTGCCCCGGGGGGCCACAACCAGCAGCGGGCAGAGTCCCGGGAGATATCAGCGGCAAGCCCACAGGCCCGCCCGCAGCCTCCCACCCCCTAGCCAGCCGAGCCCGGAACCCAGCGACCCGGGACCCAGGGGCGAACAAACCCGCCGGGGACCCAGCAGAGCCCAGGGACCCAGATCCCACAAGGCAGCCACCGGGATTGATCAGGCAGACGCCAAAAATCTTAAACCCCCTGACCCTGGAGCCACGAACACTCAGGTAGACCAAGGCACCGCACTCCATACCAGTTTGCAGCAACTTCCGATGACTACATTTGTTTTTATTGTGCTATTTTAAAATATTTGAACAAATATTTAATTTTGTGAAATTGATAGAATCTAGGGCTGCACAGCCTGGGGTCTTTCTGGAGTTTGCATGCTCAACCTGTGCATGCGTGGGTTCTCTCCGGGTACTCCGGCTTCCTCCCACGGTCCAAAAACATGACTGTCAGGTTGACTGGTGTCTCTACAATGGTCCTTGGGTGTGTGTGTTTGGTTGTTTGTCCTGGGTGTCTCTGTGTTGCCCTGCGATATACTGGCAACCTGTCCAGGGAGTACCCCGCCTGTTTGCCCGATGACTGCTGGAGATAGGCACCAGCCCCCTACAACCCTGCGTGGATAAGCAGGGAAAAGAAAATGGATAGATGAATGGATAAAAGAATCTAAATATTTCACTCTGAAATTCAATTGAAAGGTCAACTTTACTCATATTTTAACACATTTGCGTGGTCTCTAGAAGGAATGAATGCCTTGTAAGTCGTTATCTGGGGGGAAAAGCTCTGGTGTGCCTGTTTAAGGAAATAAAAATGAGCTACATCAACCTTGCGCTGAACACAACAGAATTTGGAGTCTTGTTTCCTGATAATTGGACATCTTGCTTCTGAATGGATAACTCAGACTCTGTTTGCTTTGCAATGTTGATGTTTATCTCCACAAATAACACAAGCTGGAAGAAGTTGGAGCTGCTAATGCTAACGGTTAGCTTCTGCTAGCCGAGATGTTCTCTGCTCTTTTCTGGACGCTAAACCAACAACAGCCTTCCTTGCTGCGAGCCAAGATGGGTGAGTCCATGAATGTAAAGTGACTGTGTGATGTAGATCTGTCAAGCTTTTCAAACTCTAGCATTTCACCATTTGTTTTCTATCAGAAGTTAATGTAGTAGATAGGTGTAGAAGAATATTTTCATGTTCAGCCTCCACGACAAACTCAGAGTGACTGATTATAATAAGAAATAATCAATAAAATAGTTTTTCAGGGAAGTTGACCTTTAACGTTAAAGAGCACTTCAATCTTCTGACATTAATAATCCAGAATCAATACCATTTATTCACTGTGTTATTTTAGTGAAAGCAGTAATGTAGATGTAATGTATTTTTTCTAAGACCTGCCGAGAGCTACAGTCTTGTTCATGATGCTTTTAAACAGCAAAAATGTAAAAAAGATCAACTGAGCAAAAAATAAACCTTTATAACTATTAACCATTTTAATCAATACAAGCATGAAGATTTTTTTTCAGGCTGCACAAACTTTAGGACATTTTTCTAGATTAGCTAGTTTATTGTTAAAAGGAATAAATGACTATTTGGATTGACATTAACAAGAGCAGGATAATTTATTTAGCCTTATTTCTGGATTTATTTGTGTGTTTACTTTAGTTTTCCAGCTGTAGCAGTCTTTGAGGTCTCAGCTGTCCTGATGTGGTGTGACAACCTTTCAGTCTAAAACACCTCCTAGGTGTCAACACACTTGCCACAGGCTGACAGGAAAAACCAGCTCAAAAATAACCAATCAGAAAAAAGACAGAAATGCCGACTGTACCACGCGACGCTGTAGTTTTTTTATAGCTGTAGTTAAAAATGGCGTCTGGCGGCAGCGCGAGCATCTTTCTCTAGAAAAAAGGCTTTTGGCGCTTCTACTTGTTGTTGTTTTAAGGACATTCAAGTTATTTAGAACAGAGGAAAGAGCTTCAGTCGCCATGTTTATGACAAACTCGGCATTATGGTGTGTGACGTACGCTACTCAGCGCTGATTGGCTCGGTTAGAATTATCAGGGGGTGGAGTTATTTGAATAGAAGAGTTCCCAGATCCTTTCTCTGTGCAGAACTAAACAGAGGAGGAGTCTGGCAGGCCAGGCATGTTGTGCCTTGTTATTATTTATTTAATTTTTTATTATTAATAAACTGAAGATGAACTGTAATTTTCTCTCCAAGAGAGAAGCCCAAGTTATTTCTTACATCCCCACTTTTGCCATTTGAAAAGGGATTTTTGAGATGGAAGAACAAGTGTTTTTTATTGTGTGTGTGTGTGCATGCGCGTGAGTTTTGCACAAATACAGAAACATTTTTTTTCTTGTCCTGCTCCGATCATTTAAGCAGACAGAACCTAATCTTATGTCGTTGAATATTTATTCAGCAGCTGGATCCTAAACTGCGCCTGTTGAGCACTTACATGACTCTATGGCACGACA